AAAATGACTAAAATTACCCAATCGATGACTTAATGTAGTATAATTTATAAACGTTTTTAATTCTCAAAATGACTAAAATTACCCAATCGATGACTTAATGTAGTATAATTTATAAACGTTTTTAATTCTCAAAATGACTAAAATTACCCAATCGATCACTTAATGTAGTATAATTTATAAGCGTTTTTTACTCTTTAAACGGCTAAAATTTTATTTTCGTTAAAAGTCGTAATTCAGCTTCATTTCACTCTAATGATTGGCTTTTCTAGCTATATTCTACTATTTCCCTTAAAATAACGTTTTAGATAATATTTACAATAAACAAATCTTCTTCTTCGGTAAAATATATTTTAGTTATATTATAATGTTTATTTTATATGTGTGATAAATAGTTAATTATTAAAACAGCGACGCACTACGGCCAGTACAAGAGTTTTACAGGATATGCTAAAGAATGTGTAGTACCAAATGTCCCCACAAAATTATTAATAGCGTTACATCCATAAGTCAACTATGGGCACAAAATTATCACTTACCCAAACAAAATAGAAGTTATTCCAACGATAAATATTGCGGCAATAAGCATAAACCTTGGTGTAATTACCACCATCTACAAGAAGAAAAAATTGTTATATCTTACAATTAAACATATAATGTGCTTGAGTGATATTAAGCATCAAAATTAATTAATTAAGGATAAAATAGACCCAAACTGTTGAGTATAACACTTGTCTTTTAATGCTAATTAAAATGCATGTCAAATTTAATCGCGTCGACGTCAACAATACTCCCTTGTGGTATAAGTAATTATTGAAACGCCATCTATTGTAGTTTAAGATTTTCAGTTTCGCGCGAATATTGATCCATCAATCACAAGCAGATATTTATGAACACTTCAAAATTGTGTACAATAAGTATCATAATATGTGTAATCAGATATCGAATGCATAAGTACAAAAGAAAGGTAGTCTAGGGTTTATACAAAACAAATCGAATATTTGATAAATATCCCACTATTAATCATGTGACCGCAATTTTGTCTTCGACATAAAAAGTCGTTCTGGTGTCTCGCGTCTTTGCGTAACATTTATTTTGGGGGTGTGTGTAACGGAAATTTAAATTTCTTATATTATTTTATTTTATTGGTAACTCATTATCAGCGCCATATCCTGTCTTCTTTAAACTTAAACACATTTCATCATTTTTTTTTAATATTTAGTGGCTATTCTTATTAAATTAACGCGTTTTTTGTCATTAACCATATGGCAGTGTAGGCCTACCATTTGAAATTAAACTACGTTCTCCTACACGGAGAACCCCGTGGTGGTCAGAGCACATAAATATATACAGATGTAGATGTTTTAACGATAAAGTGAGGATGTGGCAATTGCTATCTGATTATTAGAACAACAAAAAAATACCTACTAGTTTTCCAAAGATAGGAGAAAAAACAAACACGGTAAGATAGAAAACCCCGAAGACAAAACCATATTGTGTTGGGGTTGCTCCTTTCATTTCTGCCTGTTGGATATAGAAACAGGTTAATCCAATCTCCTTTATGAACGAATGACGATATGAACACATATAAGTATATTCAGTATTATGTATATGACCTAGCAGAGTGTATTCAAGATCGATCATATAAGTGAAGAAATAAATCAAAACATGTAACCTATTTAACATAGCAATTTACAGGAAACCCACAGATACTCAGAAATACATCGACTATAAATTAAAACACGTAACCCATTTAACATAGCAATTTACAGGAAACCACACGGATACTCAGAAATACATCGACTATAAATTAAAACACGTAACCCATTTAACATAGCAATTTACAAGAAACCCACAGAAACTGGTAAATACCTCAACTATAAATTAAATTGCATAACCCATTTAACATAGCAATTTATAGGAAGCCCACAAATACTCAGAAATACCTCGACTATAAATCAAATCAGTAACCCATTTAACATAGTAATTTACAGGAAACCCACAGAAACAAGGAAATACCTCGACTATAAATCAAATCAGTAACCCATTTAACATAGCAATTTACAGGAAGCCCGCAGAAACTGGGAAATACCTCGACTATAAATCAAATTGCGTAACCCATTTAACATAGCAATTTACAGGAAACCCACAGATACTAAGAAATACTTCGACTATAAATCAAATCAGTAACCCATTTAACATAGCAATTTACAGGAAACCCACAGAAACTGGGAAATACCTCAACTATAAATCAAATCACCCCTACGATGTAAGTAAGGGCATTATAGACTGCTTAGTCTTCATAATAAACAGGATTTGGGATACAAAAGATGCTAAGAAGGAAGAAAACAATTTACTAGACATCCATCTTAACGTAATACTTGATAAAGAAGAGAATACAGAAGAAGAAATTACAAATACACCGCCATATTTAAAGGCTTCATTTAAGATATGCTGAACAATATTCAGAAGCTACAACGTATACCATCGCAGCTGAACAATATTCACAAGCTACAACGTATACCATCGCAGCTGAACAATATTCACAAGCTACAACATATACCATCGCAGCTGAACAATATTCAGAAGCTACAACATATACCATCGCAGCTGAACAATATTCACAAGCTACAACGTATACCATTGCAGCTGAACAATATTCACAAGCTACAACGTATACCATTGCAACTGAACAATATTCACAAGCTACAACATATACCATCGCAGCTGAACAATATTCACAAGCTACAACATACACCATCGCAGCTGAACAATGTTCAGAAGCTACAACATATACCATCGCAGCTGAACAATATTCAGAAGGTACAACATACACCATCGCAGCTGAACAACATTCACAAGCTACAACATACATCATCGCAGCTGAACAATATTCACCAGCTACAACGTATACCATCGCAGCTGAACAATATTCACCAGCTACAACATATACCATCGCAGTTGAACAATATTCATAAGCTACAACGTATACCATTGCAGCTGAACAATATTCACAAGCTACAACGTATACCATTGCAGCTGAACAATATTCACAAGCTACAATATACACCATCGCATCTGAACAATATTCAGAAGCTACAACATACACCATCGCAGCTGAACAATATTCAGAAGCTACAACATATATCATTGCAGCTAGTACACATCAAACTATCTGAAAAGCCAGTAAAGAGAAGAGAAAAAAAAACGAAAATTTAGAACATCCCTTTTGGATGTGGACTCCAATATACTGGAGAAGCATTATAATACAAAAGATTCTATAATACCGATCTATCAGCAGTAGTCCATTATGTCAAAGAAGAAGACCGTAAAATACCATAGGGTAATAAAAGAATAATAGAATATGTACCACATACGGTAAAAACGGAAGATATAGAAAGCTTTCTACATCCAACTAATTGATAATACATTCAGTTAACCTACCATAGAAGTCAGCAAAATCTGGATACCCCTCCTGAAACACAGTAAAAGTTATGATAAATACAATGAAAACTACACTCCCGCGAATATTGTTATGGAACATTCTATTTTTCAAAATTCATATAATTCCAAATTTAAAGATTTAAACCGATTTACATCCCCCACTGTAGTCACGAGTTACCTTTTGATAAAATAAATGATTAAGAATATATAAACTAGTTTTGTGTGTAGATTTTAGAAAATATATTATGGTCTGTTTAATTCTTAATATTTCTTTGTTTCGTTCTCCTACTTAATCTATAGGATGACAAAGGTTAATCGCTATAACTTTTCTTGTGATTTCTTTAGTTTCTAGGAAAAACGTTTGAGTAATTATCATCACCGCTCATTAAGTCCAATAGCTGTGACATCAATAAAGAAGCCCTGCAGAGACCCTTCTACAAATATGTTACACCGCCGGTAAGAAGTAGGACAATTAATAACTAGTTTTAATACACTTATCTTTATTTTACCTCTTTTGGAAAAAATGGCGCCTGAAGAGAAACACATGAAGCAACACCAAAATTTACAAAGGCGATCGTTATTAAAATCAACCACTGGCGTCGGGTCGTTTTTGATACTTTCTTGCCATCTTTTATTGAAATTAACAATGAAGATTCTTCGCACGATACCTTCGAGAACTCACGTGATGCTCCAATAGCTGGCATTGTCTATCCTGCCATGAAGAAATAGTCCTAATTTTATCGTTCCAACAGTTTACAAAAAAAAAGCGAATTTTTAAATATTCGTATATTGTTAAAATTTCGTTTGTTAAAAATGAAATTTTAGAGAAAGACTCAGAATGATTTTTGTTTGTCTGTCTGTATGTCTGTGTGTATGTGTGTGTGTAATCCGCTATATGCATTATAAGAAGAGTTAGGCCGTGTTCCACCGTTGGGTCAGCGGTAACTTTACACGGACTTACAATGCTAAAACCCTGGGTTCGATTCCTCTCGGTGAGCACAGTGTAGATAGCCTATGGTGTGGCTATGCGTTAGAAACTCAAACAAGTTATGTCTTAAGTCGAAGTTAGTCTCGCAGTAAAACTCAGTAAAGTGTTATACTCTAAACTCAAGAAATACCATTAAAAGAACCTCGCGTTTAGCTGCTGTAGTAATGCTGGTAACAATGGGCCTGACATAACTTGACATTAACGATAATCCTGATCCTTGTCAAATCGATATAAACCTAACTAAAGTTCCTGAAAAAACACAACTATAAGCTGTTCTTAGGCACAGGAAAAACTCACTATTTCGGCTAAATATTCACGAAAAAATTCATTTCAAACAGGAATGAGTTAACCAAATGTCTCTATTTGCCAGACTTCGGTTTCGTTTCTTTTCAATACTGTTAAAAGTTGTGTGATTGGGGGAAATCTTTAAAAAAGTTTCTTTACTGTTTTTTTTGTTTTGTTGTTGTTGTTGTTGATAGCGAAAACCTATGAAAGACAAAATTCAAAACTACCTTTGAAATTTCTGGAACTAAAGATATTTAAATACACATGTGTGAATTTGCAAGAATAAATGGATAAATAGATATAAACTCTATCTAAGTTTTATATCTTTCATTTAGCATCTACATGCGGAAAGTGTAGCTAAATGGTTATACAGTGTCCACATAAGCAATAGGTGTGTTCATTCCTGTCGAGCCCCCCAGTGGCACAGCGGTATAGTCTGCGAACTTACAACTCTAGAACCTGGTTTAGATACCCGTGATGGTCCGAGCAAAGTCTACATAAGCAATAGGTGTGTTCATTCCTGTCGAGCCCCCCAGTGGCACAGCGGTATGTCTGCGGACTTACAACGCTAGAAACCTTTAGATGTGCAGAGCAGTGTCTACATGGTTTCGATACCCCTGGTGGGCAGAGCACAGATAGCCCATTGTGTAGCTTTGTGCTTAAATTAAGTAAGTGGCGAAGCCTGACACTATATACGCTAAACAAACGTACTTTTCCGCAGTGAATAACCGATAAAACAGTAACTGAAGATAATGAATTTAACAACATAGTAAATTGAATTCAGCAAAGTACGAATAATGTCAGAGTGAAATTATACTGTAGTTGGACATTGAAGCAGGAGTAATTTCGCTGGCTAGCTGACGTTTGAGATACTAACACCAAAAAACGAAGGTTTGTCCTCTCTGTTAGACATAGACTTGCTCATCTCCTTTTGGTTGCAATCTCTCACCTTGACAACGCGTGAATACACCTCAGAAACAGAGTTAACACAAAAGGTGTTTTCTTGCTTTTGAATTTCGCGCAAAGCTACTCGAGCGCTATCTGTAATAAGCCATCCCTAACCTTCAAGTGATAGACTATAGGAAAGGCAGATAGTCAACACCACCCACCGCCAGCTCTTGGGATATTTTTTTTACCAACGAATAATGTGATTGGACGTAACTTATAGTGCCCCTACAACTGAAAGGGCGAGCATATTCGGGGACGGGATTTGATCTCGCGACCCGCAGGTTGCGAGTCGAGCGCCCTGACCACCATGCCCTCTCTCAGCTGTGTGTGTAACAATTATCAAATTGCATCTTATAAGTAAAATCAAATTGCAGAGCACTTGAGGAAATATAATAAAGAGTACAGAGCTCTTCACTAATGCCACCCACACCTTCTTTCCCCCATAGCCCATATATTTCTGATCATTATAATTAAGCAGCGCTCCCCGACAAAAAACTAGGTCTAAGTGGACTAGATGATAAGTGTGTTCACAGGATAAGCTGTAGTTGTGAAGTACAGCCTCAATGAATGGTCTATCTAGGGGTGTGTTTACAAGATATCCAGGGATTGAGAAATAGTATCGCGAGTATTTGTTTGTTTGCTATTCAATTTCGCGCAAAGCTACACGAGGGCTATCTGCGCTAGCCGTCCCTAATTTAGCAGTGTAAGACTAGAGGGGAGGCAGCTAGTAATCACCGCCAACTCTTGGGCTACTCTTTTACCAACGAATAGTGGGATTGACAGTCACATTATAACGCTCCCACGGTTGAAAAGGTGAGCATGTTTGGTGGGACGGGGATTCGAACCCGCGACTCTCAGATTGTGAATCGAGCGCCCTAAGTATCGCGAGTATCGGTGAGAAAAAAGTTACTGTTTAAGAATTTATCTGATATAGTTTTTATATTGTTTAAAAGAGCGCTTTTTAATTTATTGTCTGTAAGGAACTAGTGTTATTCAGCGCTAATCATGAGACACTGTATTTGCTACGCATGTAAGGAATTGATGTCATTCAGCGCTAATCATGAGACACTGTATTTGCTACGCATGTAAGGAATTAGTGTCATTTAGTGCAAATCATTAGACATTGTCTTTGATACGCCTATAAGGAATTAGTGTCATTCAGTACGAACCATGAGACGCTTTATTTGTTACACCTATAAAGTACTAGTGTTATTCAGCGCTAATCATGAGACACTGTATTTGCTACGCATGTAAGGAATTAGTGTCATTTAGTGCAAATCATTAGACATTGTCTTTGCTACGCCTATAAGGAATTAGTGTCATTCAGTGCGAACCATGAGACGCTTTATTTGTTACACCTATAAAGTACAAGTGTTATTCAGCGCGAATCATGAGACGCTGTATTTGCTACGCATGTAAGGAATTAGTGACATTCTGTACGAGTCATAAGATGCTACATGCATTAAGCCTAGGTGAAAACAATTATATTAATGCTTTTCAAACTAACACATTTCTTACTGACAAAATACGTAATAAGGCCTAGCTGTTTAATTAATAACTTTAAACAAAAAATATTGTTCACTTACTGGCTTTATGGATGTCAATAATAATCAATTAACAATTGAATAAACTTTAAATGTCGATTGAAAATAGTATATCTAATATTTTACATAAGTATACACACTAACTAGGAAAATTCTAATTTGAATGTAGGAATACGTGGGAAAATGCTCATAATATAGTCTTTACAGAAACATTACTACGCTTGCGCTGTTGATGACATTGCAACAGTTCCGTTATCTTTGTGTGTTTGGAGTATATCAAATGACGTAGCAATTACGTCATTCATTATTAAACCTTTATTTTATTTCCATGAGTAACAGGCTTTCATATTAGTTACTCAGTTCTATTGACAGTTTGTTTGAAAAGTATCTCTGTTGCTAATCTTATCGCTTACCGTTTGTACAAATCAGTAAAAAGGGTCATTGTTGAATCTGTCGGTGATTTAAACTCGGACAATGGGAAGAGCCTTGCACATAGTTTTATATCAAGAGTTCGTGTGAAAGACAATATGCATTGTTATATGGGCAAAGTTTAACAAAGCCATAGGATTGGTAATATTACTATTGAGCCACAAATCAAAGAACAATGCTGAGTCAGCAATTTATGTAATTTTTATTTCATCTTCCTATTCAACCACATATTTCCTGAGGTATTTTAAAAACCAACTACAGCGACAGATATACCAAGTACGTCAAAGCCATGATAATCTGGTGTAGAACTTGTCATCCCCCCTCCCACGGTTGTTCATCGGCAAGTTTTACGAACTTTAAAGCTAAAATCCGCGATTCGATTCCCTGCAGTGTATGCCCCCAGTAGCACAGCGGCATGTCTGCGGACGTACAACGCTAGAATCTGGTTTCGATACCCGTGGTGGGCAGAGCACAGATAGCCCATTGTGTAGCTTTGTGCTTAATTACAAACAAACAAATCCCTGCAGTGTACAGAGTGCAGATAGGCTATCGTGTTGCTTTGCACTAAAAAACCCACAACAACAGAACTTGTCATTGGTAGTTAAGAAACATGAAGTTGAATAGTTGAGTTGCTTTTACAAAGAGATGAAAAGTTTCTATCGCACGACGTGTAGATGAACTTAAGCTATTTGGATATCTCAATGAAAGTTAGTTGGTAGAAGTTTTTATGTTTCTAAAGTACATTTTGAATTCTTTCTCTCTTAAAGAAAAGCGTAATTACAGAAGTGGGGCCTGTGTGATTAGAAGTTCTTTGAATGGTTGGGTTTCAAATGTACGTTGTATATTTGTTTTGAATTTCACGCAAAGCTACTCGAGAGATATCTGCGCTAGCCGTCCCTAACTTAGCAGTGATAGACTGGAGGAAGACAGCTAATCAATACCATCCACCGCCAATTTTTGGGCTACTTTTTTACCAACGAATAGTGGGATTTACCGTCACATTATAACTCCCCTAGTCTAAAAGGGCGACCCACAGGTTGCGAGACGAGAGCCCTATCCACCAGGCTACGCCAGGTCTACACTGAAAACAGGGATAATATACAGACAAAGCTATAAATTACAAGTTTGTCATTAAGATAACTGATTTTATCCTATCTTACAATAATAAGATATCATATTTCTATCCGTATAAAACATTCAGAGCGATTGTGATCAACTTGGTATCAATATCTAAAAGTACCAGTGCGTCTATGGCTAACTTTTCAAATATTGGAAAAAGACGAGATGAAAACCACTTACTTAATAAAAAAATTATAATTTCGTCGTTCAGGGTGTTTCGTGTTTTGTTTTATCCTGGCGAAGCAAGGTGCCCGGACGCTTATCTAATATTACAATAATTAATACGCGTTTATATTAGATTGTTTATTTGTAATTAAGCACAAAGCTACGCAATGGGCTATCTGTGCTCTGCCCATCACGGGTATCGAAAACCAGTTTCTAGCGTTATAAG